CAGAGATATGACCGCCTCCATACCATAAGCCAAAGCAAATGGAGTTTCCCCGGTAGATCACCGCGGGGTTGTTCGGTATGCCCAAAGGACGCTGGGTAGTTCCTCAGCCCATTTTCCCTTTGCCTTCTCCAGTCGTTTCTTCAACCCATCCAGTATAGTCTTGTTCAATGTCTCGGCTTGACCATTACATTGCGGGTAAGCCGGGGTGGAGTTGTAGAATTCAATAGCCCCCACATGGCGAAGGGCCAAGGACTGGTGAGGGGAAGAAGTTCCCTAGCAGGCTGATGGATCTGATGGGCGAATTTCTGGCATTTTTCGCACTTGCGGACGTATTTTTGTGCGTCGGCCTGCATGCACGGCCACCAGTATCCCTGCGAAATAGCTCGGTAGGCCAAGGACCTGCCCTCTATGTGGTTGCCACAAATCCCTTCGTGAATTTCGTACAAGAAGGCCTCCACACTACTCGGGTGCACACATTTTAGATAAGGACCAGTGAAGGAATTTTTATACAACGCACCAGATGGAGAGAGCCAAAACCGCTCTGACTTCACCCGGACTTTGTGTGCTTCTTTCTTGTTAGTTGGTAGAGTCTGGTCTCTAAGGAACAAGATTAAGGGGTCCATCCAGGAAGGACCTAGCGCGGCGCAGAGTAGATCCGTCTGCCCGGTGTCTTCAATGCTTGGCTGTGGAAGAAAGTCAATTAACAGGGGGTTTGGAGACCTACTATCTATCATCGACGCGAGGCCGGCCAATTCATCAGCTCGGATGTTTTCTTCACGGCCAATCTGTTAGACTCTGATTGCCTGAAACTGCTTGATGTGCGCCCTGACCAGAGCTTGGTACTTCGCCATTCTGTCATCCTTTGCTTCGTAAATCCCAGAAACTTGGTTAACCACAAGCTGGGAATCACTGTACACCAGGAGCTCGGCAGCCTTCATTTGAATTGCGCTCTTGAGCCCGGCGAGAAGCGCCTCGTACTCAGCCTCGTTGTTAGACGCCGGGAAGCC